TTCATTATTATGATTCCAGGCAACTACCCGAGATGACAGCATTTAATGTAATGCAGTAGTCCTCAAACTTCTGAAGTCCAAGACCCAGATATTCTATGGTTTGAAGAAACATTACCTTACAATATTCAGTCATTCTTAAAACAAATATATATTGAGCATCTACAAGTATTCTGGGTGAGAGAAGCTAGTACAGAAAGAGAGAAAAACAAAAAACTTAAGCATTTTAGCTCTTGAATGAAGGAAGAGAAAGCAATAAAAGTAGTGTTCCAAAAGAACTGGGAAAGAGCCAAAAAACTGGATAGGGAAGGGACCTTAGACCATGGTACTTGTGGGAAAGACTATAGAAGAATGAGCTGAGCCCTTAGGGAGAGAAGAAAATGGGGTGACAAAATGGGCCCATATACTCCTAGATTAATTTAAAAAGAAAATAATGATAGCCGACCTCGGATTACCTCTGGGTTATACCTGATGACAGTGTCATCCTAAGAGAGGTTGTTGGCTATCCAGAGGGCATATGCAATAGAATCTGGTAGGCAGAAGAAGGAGCAGTGTGTATTTTATGATCATTTATGTTTTAAAGTTCTAAGTTGTAATTCAGAAAGCACCCATGTAAGACAATGAAATGAATAATGAAGGTCAAAGACTTTCTATAGGTAGCAAAATGAGATGGCTTGAATTAGGTAGTTTCCTAGAGAAGTAAAGCTCAGAGGTGTTATTGAGATGATGTGTTATGCATAAGGCAAAATAACTGATGACACCATATATTCACATTATTTGAAAAAGAAAGAAAAGAGCATCAATGACAGTTATGTGTGCCATCTGCCTAGTAGAAAATGGTGATAAAAAGTTAGAATCTGATCTAGAGTACTTTGAAGAACCACTAAAATAATTAAGTAGAAATGTGCCTTAAAAACACTAATCAAGTACACATGGTGTGGGGGAGGTCATGGGGAAGACAGTGTAGCAGAGAAGACAAGTAGTGACTCTGTGGCATCTTACCACAGATGGACAGTGACTTCAATGGGGTATGTGGGGGGGGGACTTGATAATATGGGTGAATGTAGTAACTATATTGTTTCTCATGTGAAACTTTCGTAAGAGTGTCTATCAATGATACCTTTATTAAAAAAAACAGGCAAAACCAATCATGGTGTTAAAAATCAGGACAATGGTTACTCTTAGAGGGCAAAAATGATTGGCGAGGGTCATAAGTAAGACTTCTGAGGTGCTAGCAATGTTTTATTTCTTGATCTCAGCGCTGGTCACAGTGCTCAGTTTGAAAAAATTTGTCAAGTTGTACATTTATGATGTGTGTACTTTTCTGTATGCTATATACTTCAAACCAAAAGCACAAGTAAAAAAAGAAAAAATTATGTGGACTTTTTCAAAATCAAAAACTTTTGTGCTTCAAACCATCCTTTAAAAGTGAAAAGACAACCAGAGAATGGGAAATTTTTGCAAATCATTTATCTGATAAAAGATGTGTATCTAGAACATACATATCTCTTAAAACTCAATAAAAAGACAACTCAATTTTAAAATGAGTTGTAATCAGTATGTAGTGTTTTATGGTACCAAAAAAAAAAAAACATCACCAAAGTCTAGGATATGCCATCACACTGTTACTAATGAGGAGAAACCACTGTATCAGCTAAAGAAGAGGATGTAATGATATCTGTTGTAAATTTAGTCTTCAGAAAGGTGCTGAAGGTGGTTGGGGGAATGGATGGAATAGGTGAAGGGGGAAAAGTAATGAGTGAGTGCTTGATATCCTGATCTGGGCATTGGTTACAACACTGTATACACATGTCAAAATACATCAAGCTGTATATTAAATTTGTATAGTTTACTTCTATGTAACTCAAAATAAATTTTTAACAGCTAAAAAAAAGAAAGCTGTTAGAAAAGATGTCTATAACTGAGACTATGAATCTGATTATTTCAAAAAGGGAGAACAAATTATTAATACCATAGGCTCAAGAGCTGTCAACAGCTGTTAGTCCTTAAACTATATGTAAAGCATGATTAATTCTACGTCAAATTTTTATTCAAGAAGTACACCTCACATTTGTGCCACTTGAGACAGTATAAGAGCTAATTATGGAAGAGTTCACAGGATGGCTTGATGTTGGCAACAAAATGACATGCCAACCCCCTCTGAATCCACACTAAAGGAGAGATTAAAACCACATCTCCTACTCAAGGCTCCTTTAACAAAGAAACAGAATTATTCCTCAAACATACAACTCTCACTGAACTCTGGCTCTAATGGTTCATCTCGATCTAGAGTAATTCCTTCACATTCCCTTAGAGAAACTCAAACACTCCTTCTAAGGCCCAACTCAATCCATATATACTTCCTAAAACCTTCCCCTTCTAGGTTCACAATAACAGCCCTCTAATATAGATGACTTAAAATCAGTGCAAATAATAGGTATGATCCCCTTAATAATCTAAGATATCTGGGCACAGAAACTCATGCTCTTTCTCTCCCTTAGATACACATATACGGGCAGTCACCCAACTCCCAGTCTAATGTTCTTTCCACTATCTCACTTAGGCATACTTTAGCTGGACATGCATTTCAAAGCGGTCAAAGGGTAAGCACATGATTTATCATTTTGCTTATACTCAACTGGCTCCCTTTCCACTTGCAGCTGCTCCAAGTCCTTACTCCTCTCCTTCAGAGCACTATTCCAAACACACTCCATCTAACTGTCAAAGCATAACCTTCTTGCTAAGAAAACAGAAACCCTCAAGGTATTACTCTCTCCACCATTCCTCTCCAGCTACTTAGAAATATATGTGTATCTTCACCACCCTAACCTCAGTTCCTCCTGTGTCAGTATATCTCTACTCTTTTCCCCAAAGTCAATTTCTCTACCATGTTCTTGATCCCATCCATCCTCTCTAAGTGTAAGCTATCAATCACTCTGTTCCTTCACTTAACTTCATTTCTCCCTTTAAATGCTCATTTTTCCATTTATATCCAAACATTGATTGAACTTTCTATGTGTCAGGCAATGGTCTGTGTGCTAGTTACCGACAAGATCTCTGTACTCATAAAGCTTATATTCTAGAGGATGGGGCCAACAATAAACAAGAAATAACTGAAAATGATGGTTTTTGACAGTAGGTAAGTGCTATGATGAAAATAAAACAGGGTAACTCAACTGAGGTGGAGCTGGATAGAAGAGAAGAGGGGGTCGAATCTGCTTAGGCTGATTGTTTTGAGAAGTCCTCACTGGGGAGGAACATTTAAGTGGTCAGGAAGGAGCCAGCTCCATGAAGACCCAAGGGGGAAATGCAATTCTGGAGAAAAGAAAATATGCAAAGGCCCAAGGGAGAACCATTTTGATGTGTTGAATGAGATAAAAAGGACCTTGTGACTAACATAATGAACCTAGTGGGGCAGTGGTACAAAAATGAAGTCTGAGTGGTAGGCAGGCACCAGAACATAAAGCCCATGAGGAAAAAGTCTGGATTTTATTTTCCATGGAAGAGTTAATCCACTGGAGGCTCTCTCTTATCAGGGAGTGATGTGATCTGACCATTTTCCAAACTCAGATATACAATAATACTACCATCTTTAAATCAACAGAAACTATGTTTCCACAGCTTGAAATTATTGCTATGTGCACTTTAAACTATCAAAGTTGGAAAAACTGAATCTGTATTTAATGCAGTATCTGTATTTAATGCAATAACAAATACTTATTGGCTTTCAATTAGTTAAAATTAGAGTAGAGAATAAGTGTAGTTTAAAAAACTTGATAAACCACATTTACCTGTTGATTTCATTTACTGAGCTACTTGAGAAATCACAATCCAGATTTTACTTCACCCTTCCCCAGACTTTGAACTAACCCAAAAGTTCACTCACCTCGACAAGCTTCTTCAAAATCTTGAGTTATGTCCACCCAGCTTGTATTGCTTTTTTCCATCTTTTCTGGTATACTGAGCTCCCATCCTGAATCCTCCTCCTCTATGGAAGCTTTCATAACCATTATGCCTATAAAATTAACACTGATGTAAAAGAGAGATTGTAGTTTTCCGGGCGTGAGTACTGCAAACCATATGCGTTTGTTTAAGTACTAGATGAAAGTTTCACTAAACTGTTTAAGCAAACCTCATCTGGGTTTGAGAATGGTACTGAAAAAAATGCCTTAATGCAACTAAATCTCACATTCATCAACACTACTGCTGCTCATTTACTAATAGTCCAGCACGTACCAGGGCTCATAAAGAGTTTGCTTTCCCCCACTACTTAAGAAGAAAAATCGACAACCATCCCACCACTGGCCCAAACAAAACCAACTCTAGAGCTTCCAATTTTCAACAGTAGCCACAAATGACCAAGGCTCTTCAGGGTACCCCCTCGCAGCCCAGGGTCCCAAGCGGCAACTACTCAAGGCAAGGTGGTCTCACACCTGCCTGGAGCAAGCCAGGCCAATCTCTCTCCCGGCCGGGCAGGACCCCGGAACAGTCTGACCGAGGGGCACGGCGTGGGGAGCGCCCAGTCGGTTGGCACCTCCGGCCCAGAGCGGGGACGCACCTGAGGCGGGGACCCGCCCCGTGCACACTCCACCTTGGTCAGCCCGGCCCAGCCCCGGCCCCACGGGACGCGGAAGCAAGGACAGGGCTGTCGTCGCGCGGGAGGGCAGATAAGCCCGCTGCCTGGTCGTCGCCCCGGTAACACCGGGGAAGGCCAGGGCCTCCGCGCGCACGGGGAGCACGCAGCTCCTACCTGAAGCACTGCGGGAGGGCTGGGGCCGTAGGGTGACCTGGCGTCCCCAGAGTCCGCCGCACGCGCAAGGGGCTACAGCGCTAGGACACGGGAGGGAAGGAGTTTCAATGGTAAGCACAGGCGGTCCCTACCTACTTCTCCCTTGGCCACCCGGGCCGCTACGCACCGCCCGGACCGCGGAAATAACGACGCCGCGGCTGCTCTGCCGCCGCCCCCTCCCCTCTCAGCCCAGTCGGGCCGGCCGTGTGCGCGCATGCGTACGCCGAGTGCGCGCGACCCCGCCTCCTCTCCCTCACTCCTGGGGACTTCGCGCTCCCCGGCCACACCCCCTCACTCGCAGCTGCCACTGTGGCCGACAGAGGCGGTCTTGTCTTATCGCGAGATTAGAGAAAATCGCGAGACCGGAAGCTATCTCCTTTCTCCAGCCTCAGGCCTAGGCCGAGGTAGGGGGCGAGTCCGGAAGGGGGCGGAGCCGAGTCTCAAAGACCCCCTCGCCCCGCGGGGCTCTCTGGGAAGTTCTTAGAAAGGTGAAGGGCAGGCGGAAGGAAGCGGTGGAAGTCGCACAGAACCTGTAGCGGCTGGAACAGTGGAGTTCGGAGCTCCATGGAGCTAGTGCTGCCTGACTGATTTTGTTTCCTACAGAGCCTGGGGATTTCTTGAGGAAAAATAGAAACAATATATCTTCAGAGTCAAGCCAGCCACTTTCTTTTTGGCCCATATTTTAGATTTTTCTTAAAATTCATTTTGATCAGTTTTAAAGTAGGGTTTCATAAGTGGACAGGAAAGGGTAAGAAATGTAATTTCACCATTCCATGCTGTGGGGAGAATGGAAGTTCCAGGATCCTCACCTGGACCTAAACTATTCAATAATGTAACTGGCCTACTGCTGGGCTACTGCTTCCACACCGGTAGGCAAGGCAATAATAAGCTGTACCTGACTGAGTGTAACTCTGGGGAGAGAAAATACTGGGGCAAAATACCTATATGAAACCGAATTCAGTCAAAGGGAGAAATGAAGCTTAAGACCCGTCTATTGCTTACGAACAGGTCCTGGGGCCTTCTCCTGCTCCAGCAGAACCTAGCAAATCCCTCCCCCCCACTCCCATGCACAACCTCTCAGGTTCAGATTAAGCACTCAGTCGCCTAGGTAATTACCCATTCATATGGAGACCAACTACTTATCTCCACCGCTTAGGAAGGCCTGTTGATATGAGATGCACTAAAGCTAGGCAAGAGATTCTGGAAATCCTGCAATTTTACCCACACTTAATCACTACATAAAGAGCTCTTCCCAGTGCTCTGGGCAGAGGTAGAGAGGAAGGAGGATTACAGACCTCAGACTGTTTGATGCAGATGTAATTGTAGTACTCCACCTATCACCGGAAGAGCTTAAACCCTTTTTATCCCAAGAACGTTCCAGTGTCGTTCCTGGGTCTCACTGAATCCATAGTGAACTTGGCTGAAACCCACTGGGAAGACACATACCCATTAAAATGGCCAAAATTTAAAAGATGATACCAAATGTCGAAAAGGAAGCAGAGTAACTGGACTTTGCATGTTGCTGATGGGAATGCAAAATGGTACACTTTGATAAACAGTTTGTCTTTTACTGTTATCGTACAGTTAATTATATGATCCAACAATCCCACTCCTAGGTATTTACTTGGGAATGAAAATTTGTGTCTATACAAAATAACTTAAATTTTAATACTTTATTTTTAACAATTACCTGGAAACAACCCAAATATTCATCAGTTGGTGAATGGATAAACATGCGGCATATCCATGCACTGATGAATAGTAATTATAAACAGAGATGAACTACTTAACATATAAAAACATTAATCTCAAAAAATACGTTGAGGAAAGGAAATCAGAATATGAGCAAAAAAGTATGATTCCATTTATATCAAACTTTTTAAAAACACAAATCTAATCTATAGCGACAAAAAGAGCAGTGACTGCCTGGGGGGTGTCAAGACAGGATTAACTACAATAGTGCTAGGTGTTTTGAAGTGATGAGATGTTCTGTATTACTGTGGTGGTTATATGGGTTAATACATTTGGAATAATTCATTGAGATAAACACAATGTGAGCATTTGTGAATCAAACATTTATAAAGTTGATCTTTTTTAAAATGAAAAATATGTCTTTATGGCTCTTACATAATAAGGTTTTCCAAGGACAGAAGCTTTGCCTATTTTGATCAAAGCTGTATCCCAAGCATTTAGGGCAGTGGTTGGCATATAATAGGTACTCACTAAATACACTGAGGGTAAGAATGTAGAAAAGAACTACCATTTATAGCGTTTCTCCAAAGCCATTTGATGATCTTTTGCAGAGATCATAAAAAACCTAGAAAAGGAAGAATTGATTGCATCTGCATTAGTCAGTATTATAGATTGTGACTAAAACTGATACAGAAAAAAACCAAAACACAACACTTTAGAATTTTTGGAAATAAGTGCTTCAGATCTTAAAAGAATCACTAGAACCAGAAAGCCAAGTGAAATGGGATTTTCTTAATTTCTTCACTAAAATTATAATTTATTTGAAACTCAAGTTTATTTTCACAAGTTCTAAATACCTCTCTTCTTTAGAAACCATTTTCCCTGAGAAAGAGAGATTTGACTTATGATAACATCCTATATGCTTCACAGTGTTGAAAAACGATGGACATTTAAAAATTAGACTACATAATAAATGGATGCAAAGGAACTGACTGACAAATAGTTGGTCTACCTATACATACCTATAGATACAGAGTAGCCGGAAACTAATCCCTATGACTATGAACCATGACTCTTAAAATCCTAAGCACTTGTGTTGAGAGGAAATTTAGCTTGATGCCCTTCCATTGTACTGACACCAGGAAGCAATGCAACATGGGTTTGATAAAAGCAGAGCTACTAGTCGAAGTGAAGGACTCTGGGAATAAAGACTAAAGCAGGATCAAAACCAGGAGATAGTTCACTAAATCAGACAGAGATGTTAACACCCAATTATCCCTTTAATATCAACACACATACATAATGTAATGTTTATAATGTTATAAATATTGTTTTCTTTGTAAAAAAGTCTTTTCAAAATTCCTTTTTTTGAACAAATGCCCTTTCAGCAATTTCCTGGGACTTATCAAGTGAATTTTTTGCTAAAAAAAAGCTTATATTTGTAGATTTCTTACCTTCCATTAATGAGTTGTCTAATGCAGAGATATTAAAATCTTAAACTTCTATCTGTAAGGCTGGAGGTACTGGAGGGAGGAGGGCAAGGACAGTGCAGGCAGAGCAGAGACAGCACCAAATAGCTCTGTGCCATATGGGGAAGGAATGAACAGCTCTACCTGGATTCCAGTCCCATGACGTGCCGACAAACCCTGGATGCAGACCCCTTCCATCCGGAAGGAGACCTCTGGCTGACCACCACCTGACCCTGAGCCAATAGAAATTTCCCCACATACCCCTAGCGTGGCCCACTTCCCCCTCCCTTCCCTGTTCACTTAAAAACTCCCTGCCTGCCATGCTGGGTGCGACTTCCCCAGACTGTGACTAGCCAGACCGGCGAACATCGCCTGGGATTGCACTGCCTGGCCCTTTGTTGCCTCTCGTCGCCTGCTTATTTCGGTTAGAATTTATCTTATATTTGGTGCTGAAACCCAGAAACGAGCATGAGCGCGGGACCCCGACCAGCTACCGGCGGCCCTGCCTCCTCCTTCCCCAACCTGGGACCTCAGCCTGCTCTCCGCTGCATGGACTATTTTCTGGGGAGTCCCTCAGATTCCCCCGGTCTGTTTCCCTTCCTAACTCCATTGCACCTGGTCCATTCGAAATCATAGCTACGTCCAGGTTGAGGCATCCAGTCCCTTGGCAATCCGGCCCACCCTCTGCGGGCATCCGGCCTGCCCCTGGCCCTGCAGTGTGGGAGACGTCCCTCACCCAGGCTCCCAGGCCGTCTCCCCTGACTTGGTGCTCTTGGGACACTGGGTGCTCCTCTCAGTGGGATTAGTTAGGAGGGGGTGACACAGACATGGGGAACCAGCCCTCAAAAGCGGAGGCCCAGACCCCGTTGCGGTGTCTCATTTCTAATCTGGCTGCTCTATATTTGTCCCAGAAAGTTCGCAAATGGAAGCTGGTCTTCCTTTGCTCTCAGGCCTGGCCTCAGTATCCCTTGGACAACCAGTCTTGGCCCCTTGAGGGGACTTTTGATTTTAGCCTCCTCACTGACTTGACTAATTATTGCCACTGGAGTGGAAAGTGGAGTGAAATCCCACATGTGCAGGCCTTTTGGACTTTGCGCGCCCACCCAGATCTGTGGGTTAAGTGTTCTCCTTCCCAAGTTCTGTTGGCCCAGGCCTCCACCAAGGACTGCCGATCTCCACCATTCCTATTACTGGGAGGCTCTTCTCTGATGGACTTGGAGGAAGATCTCGGCTACCCCCCTTCCCGCTCCTCCAGGCCCACCGCCAGGGCCAGCTCCCTTCCTCATTGTTCATGTCCTCACCCCTCCTCCTCTTTCTCTCTCTCTCCACCATCTTGTTCCCCTTCTCTTCCGGTCTCTCCACCATCTTGTTCCCCTTCTCTTCCAGTCTCTGTGCCATCTTGTTACCCTTCTCTTCTGGTCTCTCCGCCATCTTGTTCCCCTTCTGTTCTGGTCTCTCTGCTATCTTGTTCCCCTTCTCTTCCAGTCGTGCCGCCATCTTGCTCCACAGGTGCCGACTTCACTTCAGAAAAAGTGGATAAAAGTCCCCCATATCCTGGTCCCCTGCCTTCAAGTTCCACATCAGTTCCCAGGTTGTATCCCCCATTGCCAGCATCGCCTCCTCCGTCCCCTCCTTCAAACTCACTGCCATCCTACTCACCATGGCTGGCACCCAAATGGTCTAGCCCTCCCGTAACCCATTCTAAGTCACAGCGGTCTCAGGCTTATGTGATGGCTCCTCTGAGGGAGGTGGCAGGGGCTGAAGGGGTGGTGCAGGTTCATGTTCCCTTTTCCCTAGCAGGCTTGTCCCAAGTGGAACAGCGATTGGGGTCCTTTTACTCCAACCCTGTAATGTTTGCTAAACAGTTTAAATATCTCACTTGAGCTTACAAGCTCACCTGACATGGTGTACATGTAGTCCTCCAATCCACTCTAACCCCGGAGGAATATGACCGTGTCATGGCAGCAGCACTGTGCCAATGAGGCCCATAGCACAGATGAACAGGAATTTATGGACAGGAGGCTGTTCCTCTACAGGAACCCCTGTGGGATTATAATTCTCCCGAGAGTGAGGCATGCCGGGATCTCATGGTTCACTACTTGTTGGTGGGTATGAACTCAACCATCCAAAAGGCCATCAATTACAATAAACTTAAGGAAATTACCCAGAGGCCTGATGAAAATCCATCAGAATTCCTCAATCGCCTCAAGGAAACCCTAGGGGCTTTTACTAAGACTGACCCA